TTACAAGAGTTATCCCGAAAGAGGGAATCGCTTCAAAATTATGTTCTTCACTGTTTCCAGAAGGCTTGAAGTTCTTGCAAAAAGGCTTTCTAGAAGTTTTCTTCCAAAAGTAGACGACTGTTTCCAGTCGAATTCTGAAAACTCACAGATTTATTCGCCAATTTTTAGTTCACACAACCTTCACCAGCTGATTCAAGCTGTTCATCGACGCTTGCGCCGCCACTTACATCGCCGATTGGTAATCCAGCGATAGGTGTGTTTCTGCTTTTTTTTGCGCCAGATTTTTCCTTTTTATCAAAATGTTTCATTATCCTTAATGGATCGAGTTCAGCACTTGGCATTAGCGTGGATTGTAGTTTTTTAGGTAGGGGTTCAAATGGCTTCATTTTCCCTCTCCTATATGTACCTGATGGCAGCGGACCCAGGGTTGTGTGGGAGTATCTTGGAAATTCACCTAGACCAATATGAAGTTGTTGCCTAGGCACCCTGGACAGAGATTGAGCCGATGGTCATTATAGCGAAATTATTTTGTGATTATCAAGTTTCTTTTGTGCTTAATTGATACACGAGTAGAGGGGGATTCTACAACGGTAAGGTATGAGGAGAGGAGCCTTTGGTGCGTTTGCATTGAAAAGAATAGATGTGGGAGTTTCAATGAAGTTTTCTTCAATTGAAGATTCTCCTCTTATTTCCCGTTTTCAGAGGTGCTATTTATAGGGATCTTGGTAGGGGAGCAAGCATTGGCTCACACTGTTTGTTTTGTCGTGAATGGATGCGAGCCCCCCCCTTCCCTTCCCCCTCCCATCCGCTGGTCAAAGCTCTGCGGGGTTGAGGAGGAAAATTTGGATGAGTTCTGCATTCGGGTTTTCAAGAACGAGCAGTATTGAGCGGCCTCCCCAACATCGCTATGACCTGCTCTGAGCGGGTTCCCAGTGATAGACCGAAGAGTACTATAATAACTGAAAGAAGTAAAGGGTGCCCTTTAGGGCGCAGTTCGGCCACGGGGGCCATTTTGTACTACCATTGTTTCCCTAGTTCCGGTATACAAGTCTCACTCTGGCGAAACGTGTGAACTCTTGTGAAGCTGGAGCAAGCCATCATAGTAAAACCTGTGGGAAGAAGCAGAAAAGCAAATCCCTCCCCCCTCGTGAAACTGCGCCGCCGTTTGATTTGGGGGGAGGGTCGCTTTTCTATTTCGCCAGTTTCTTCACTTTCGTTACGGTGGTGAGGACTGACTCGTAACCTCGTGTAAAGCTGCGGAACAGAGCAAGTGTCGTCGATTCGTTCTGATCAGACCTGTAAACCCTTGCCTGCACAAGCTTCGCTGAGTGTCATTTCCTGTGTTTACAGGAGCTCACAAGTATCCACGCCGATTAGGACTAGCAAAATGCTCCCTCCCACCTTATGACAAACAGCGCCAAAGAACAAAACAAAAGATTTGCTATTGAAGGCCACCCGAATAAAATAAGAGGATACGGTGGAACGCATTACCTAACCAAATAACAAATAGTCAAATTTCTAGTTCCTTCAGAATCTGCCCTGCAGTAGAACCAAGCTTCGCTGCAATTACTTGTGCCGGTGCAAATGGTACTTTATGTTATACATATGCTGTTCAGATAGTGTGGCGACACGGGAGAAAGCACCACACTGATAGTGAGGCAAAACTGTACATCTTTTACATCTTCAGGCTACTATGTTGGTAGGGGGGGGGCATTCGCCATTCCATGCCACATGCTCGTCTGCCTCCTCTCATCGAGATAGTGTGGAAGTGGTATGTACGCCCTTTTCATACCAACAGTTGTCTTCTGAAACACGCCTGGACTCATATCGGTTTCGAGCACCTTTTCGCGAACTGACATGGAGTGCGGTGGCGTGCTTCTCCCTCCCCTTCCCCTCCTTCCTCCCCCTCCCCATTCTCCAGATGCCATTTTCCTCATTTTCTTTCATACCATTCTCTCGAATTCAGTGATTTGCTCACAGCACTTTCCTTTTTAACTGTGGACTGAATTTGGCACCTAACAGGTTTTTATGGTGGGAGGTTTTATTGAGCCTGACGTTTCGGCAAGATCGCTTTCTTCAAAAGCCTGAGAGCGTTTCGACACACTTTTCACGCTACCTGTTTTGCTTATCGTACTCCCTTCACCCTCTTTGCTAGGAACTCCGCGTCTTTGAGAAAAGCGACTCTGCTTCAATTCCAGTGAACCATTCCACTTCGAAAAAGCCTACTTTTTGCAAAATACCGAATACATTTAGAAACTGCGCAGCTTTTGCGGAAGATCGGCTTTGAAAAGACATTTCTCCGGATTACAATTTTGGAGCGTTTCTAGAAAGTGGAACATTTTGGTGCAATAGTTCGCACGGATTACGATAACACCAGTTTTGCACAACGACCGCTGCGAACTATTATGAGCATTGTTTTTATGCTATTTCTTCATTTTTTTTTCAAAGTATTAAGCGATAAACAGTTTTGTTAGTAAACTATTTCAAACGATGGATTCCCTCCCCCGTCTCCCCGTAAGCACGAACAGCGCAGAAATGTTACAAGAAAGCTTGCTCATGAAGGTTTTGTCCATGCTCGGGAAAGGGAATGGGTCCTCCGAGGTGGGTGAGGCAGTTTCTTGGTATCTCTCTTTCCTTATTCGAAGCTGAGTGCCTTTCTGTTTTTTCCTTAACATTAGAGCATCAAAAACAGAATAGTAAATGTTAATAATAATAATAATAATAATAATAATAATAATAATAATAATAATATAAATAATAATAATAATAATAATAATAATAATAATAATAATAATAATAATAATAAATAAATGATAAAGGAATAATATCTGCCGCCGTGGATAAATCCCTGTACGGGATGCGGCACGCATTCTAGTTCGATTCACGATCCTAGTGGCTTATTGAATGGCGAATGTGGCCTATACAATGAATCGCGGGGGCCAACCGATATACAAGTCAGTGCTCTTGTCCTCCTAGACGGATTTGGTACCAATTTACCGTCCTCGGAGGGTAGAAGGCTTGGTTGACCTGGCTCCTCGGAGGGTAGAAGGCTTGGTTGA